GGGACCCTGGCCGGCAGGGGTGGGAACCTGGCCGGCGTGGGGCTGGGGCTTCCCGGAGGAGGGGAATGAAACCACCGCCTCCGGAGGCGTGTACCGTGTGTCGGGCGCACAGTGGGGCTTCAGCACTTGGGGACTTTCTACTGCCAAGACTTTACAGCGCCCCCGAGGGTGCTCTGCCTGGGCCCGGCCTCCCCCTTTCTCGCCACGGAGGGAGGGTCTTCGGCCTTTTCCTTAGGGGAGGCCTCCAGGAGGCCCAGGTGGGGGCAGTGGCGCAGGGCGTGGCCAGCAGGTGGCTTGTGTTCCTTGAGTGAGGGTGTGGGTCAGTTGTCTCAGAGCGAGTTTAGTTTCCAGGGTGAGGGCAGGGCCTTGCCCTGAGTGGGTGGGGGGCCGGCCCCTCCATCATTTTCTGGCCCCCAGCCCCTGGGAGTCAGCCCTGCCAGGCACCCTTAGGCTGCAGGCCTCTCTGGGCCCCGGCGTTCTCATCTGTAAAACGTGGCCACGGTCCTCTCATGGGAGCTTTCCTTGGTTGACATCACCCGGGGCCTGACTGCTTCGAGGGAGGGCCTCAGTGATATTTAGGGGGGAATAGGGACCCAAGACAGGGTCCCAGGCTGGAGAGGGCAGAGACTGGGACCCCCGGACCCAACCTGGAGATGGAATCTTCACACCGGTGGGGTCTCCGGGAGGTGGCTCAGCCACCTGGATTATTTTGGGCCCATCCTCCAGGACCCAGGAAAGATAGCTCCCAGCCACTCCAGAGCGGGGGCCTTGGTCACCTGAGGGGAAGAGCGGCCCAGCAGGCCCGGGGTGGCCATCTTGGGGCGTTGGTGGCCTGGGTCAGAGGTCTGCCCCATGCAGGGGTGGGCAGGAGGGCCCGGGCCCGTCTGATCCGGAGCTCCATCTGCTCACGCGCTCCTCGCGGCCCGGGGCCAGACGGCAGATGGTGGCAGGGGGTGGACACCACCAAAGGGGGCTCCTCAGAGGCTTCCTAGGACCGAGTCTTGGGTGGGGTCGCCCCCCTCCTGCCCTCCCTGCTCCCAGCAGCCACATCTGAGCCCACCGCCCCACCACAGGCCTCGGAGTGGACGGGGGCGCTGAGCAGCTGGGCCCTGGGCCGAGGCTGGAAGGAGGGAAGGAAGGCGGGTGGAGGGGCCTGGGGAGCGTGGTGGCACTGAGCAAGCTCACAAAGGCCTCTGTGTCGCCCGGCAGCTCAGGCCCGGCGCTGAGGGCCCCGGGCTTTGGGTCCGGCTGGACCGACACTGTGCCTCCCTCGTGGGGCCTGGCTCGAGCTCGTCAGCGTCAGAGCCTGCCTCGGCTGCCAGGCTGGGGGACAGGAGGAGGCTGTGAAAGGCCCAGCTCAGGCCCTCTCTCCAGGGGCCTTGCCCAGAGGCTCTGGCCCGAGAGCCACCGGCCGGCCTGGAGGAATGTGAGCTGTGCTGGGTGACTCGGGGCAGCCGGGGGCTCCCAGGAGAGGGCGGAGGGGTGGGGACAGGGGCCAGAGGGTTGCACAAGCTCTGAGTGGGTGGATGAGTCACAGCCGAGGGGAAGGCGGAAAAAAGGGAGGGGGAGAAAGGGGTGGGACAGACACAGTCCCCCCAGGGCCCGGCGCTGCCCGAAACCTCTGCCCATTTGACAGATAGGGAGACTGAGGCCCAGAGAGGGCCAAGGCCTTGCCTGGGACTGAACAGCTCAGCTGGGGCGGCTGAGAGTTGAGGAGGGGCTGCCAGGCGGGCCTGTGGGCAGGCAGGAGGTGGCTAGGGGTTCCCCCAGCTCCCTGCTCTTACCGAGCTACAGCCCGGTCTCTGTTACTCACAGCTAGGGCTGAGCCCTATGCTGGGGGATCTGAGGGGCAGGAAGGGGTTTAGCCTGCAGAGTCACTGGCCCTGCCCGGACGGGGCACACCCACGATGGCCTTGACCTCTTCTGGGTTTCGGCACTGGGTCCCTGTGCCTGGGCTGCCACACCCCTTCCTGCTGACTCAGAGCCCCCTGAAAAGGACCAGGCCCCACCAGGAGGCAGGAGGCAGGGCTGGGGAGGCCAAGGGGTCGGCTCTTAGGTCCACTCCCGGTTTGAGTTTGGACGCAACTGTGGCCTCATGGTGGGGCCTCGGGCAAGTGGCCTCAGCCCATGATGGAGTGGGTGTTGCTGGTGGGGTTTGGGCGGAACCGGCGGGAAGTAAGTGTTATGTGTTGTTGTTGTTGTTGGTTTTTTGTTTTTTGTTTTTTTTTGAGACGGAGTCTCGCTCTGTCGCCCAGGCTAGAGTGCAGTGGCCGGATCTCAGCTCACTGCAAGCACCACCTCCCGGGTTTACGCCATTCTCCTGCCTCAGCCTCCCGAGTAGCTGGGACTACAGGCGCCCGCCACCTCGCCCGGCGTAAGTAGAGACGGGGTTTCACCGGGAGCAGGAGTTCTCGATATCTCGCCGAACACCCGCCCGCCCCCCAAAGGGGGCATACAGGTGAGCCACCGCGCCCCGGCCTTTTTTTTTTTTTGAGACGGAGCTCTCGGCTTCTGGTCACTATGACGTGGAGTGCTGTGGCACCGAATCTAGGTGGCTCACTGCAGCCTGCCACCTCCTGGGTTCAAGTGATATTCCTGCCTCAGCCTCCCGAGTAGTGGACTATAGGCGTGAGCCACCACGCCACGCTAATTTTTGTAGAGAGGGTTTCACCATTTGCCCCCCAGGAGTTCTCCATCTCTTGGCTTGTGATCCACCCGCCTTGGCCCCTCAAAGTGCTAGGATCACAAGGTGAACTGCGCGCCCGCCAAAAGTAGGTGTTTTGTAAAGTCACTGCGTGGCCTCCCCCTGTATCGGCCGAAGCCCATGCTCAGACCAACAGGAAAAGGCTCAAATCAGGGCACTTTTCTAGCACTACTGTGTGCTCCCGAACCCCCCGAATGTCCCCCTTATTAATATATATTATTCTATTATTTATCCAAAAGAAGGTGTTTCGCTCTTGTCCAGGCTGAAGTACAATGGCGCAACCTCGGCCTCCCAGGTTCAAGCGATTCTCCTGCCTCAACTTCCCGAGTAGCTGGAATTACAGGCATGCGCCACCACGCCCGGCTAATTTTGTATTTTTAGTAGAGACGAGATTTCACCATGTTGGTCAGGCTGGTCTTGAACTCCCGACCTTACGTGATCCGCCCACCTTGGCCTCACAAAGTGCTGGGATTACAGGTGTGAGCCACAGCGCCCAGCCCTTTTTTTTTTTTTTAATTAATTAATTTTTTTGAGATGGAGTCTTGCTCTGTTGTCCAGGCTGGAGTGCAGTGGCTCCATTCAGGCTCACCGCAACCTCCGCCTCCCGGGTTCAAGCGATTCTTCTGCCTCAGCCTCCTACTCGAGTAGCTGGCATTATAGGCACGCGCCACCACGCCTAGCTGTTTTTTTTTTTTTAAGATGGAGTCTCGCTCTGTGGCCCAGGCAGGAGTGCAGTGGTGCAGTCTCGGCTTACTGCAACCTCCATCTCCCAGGTTCAAGCGATTCTCCTGCCTCAGCCTCCTGAGTAGCTGGGATTACAGGCGTGTGCCACCATGCCCATCTATTTTTGTATTTTTAGTAGAGATGGGGTTTCACTGTGTTAGCCAGGATGGTCTTGATCTCCTGACCTGGTGATCCGCCCACATCGGCCTCCCAAAGTGCTGGGATTACAGGTGTGAGCCACTGCACCCAGCCTAATTTTTGTATTTTTATTAGAGACAGGGTTTCACCATGTTGGCCAGGCTGGTCGCTGGTCTTGAACTCCTGACCTCAAGTGATCTGCCCACCTCACCCTCCCAAAAATGCTGGAATTACAGGTGTGAGCACCGAGCCCGGCCTCAAAGTCCCCTTTCAACAGGCATTCCCGGGGGTCGTCCTGGGAGGGGTGGTGCCAGTGTGCCTGTGACACTTAAGCACCCAGTGTGGGTTTTGCTGGCATAATCTCACGCTGATGAGACAGAACAGGGCATCTGACTGCTCTTGGGCACAGCTGGGGAAACTGAGGCTGGTGGGGGCAGGACACCTGACTGTCCTCATGCACAGCTGGGGAAATTGAGGCTGGAGGCAGGACATCTGGCCGCCTTCGTGTACAGATAGGAAACAGGCCGGGAGTGGGACACCTGATCGCCTTCCTGTACAGCTGGGGAAACTGAGGCTGGGGACAGGACATCTGATTGCTTTTGTGCACAGCTGGGGAGACAGGCTGGGGGAGGCAGGATATCCGACCATTCTCATGCACATCTGGGGAAACTGAGGCTAGAGAATAGGACATTTGACTGCCCTTGGGAACAGCTGGGTAAACTGAGGCTGGGGAGCCAGGACATCTGGCTATCCTCATGCACAGATGGAAAACTGAGTCTTGGCCGGGCGCAGTGACTCATGCCTGTAATCTTAGCACCTTGGGAGGCAGGGGCGGTTGGATATTTGAGGCCAGGGTTTTTTGTTTTGTTTTGTTTTGTTTTTCTTGAGACGGAGTCTCACTCTGTCGCCCAGGCTGGAGTGCAGTGGTGCGATCTCACTGGTTCATGCCATTCTCCTGCCTCATCCTCCGAGTAGCTGGGACTACAGGCCCCCGCCACCATACCCGGCTAATTTTGTGTATTTTTTAGTAGAGACAGGGTTACACTGTGTTAGCCAGGATGGTCTTGATCTCCTGACCTCATGATTCGCCCGCCTCGGCTTCCCAAAGTGCTGGAATTACAGGCGTGAGCCACCGCGCCAGGCCGAGGCCAGGGTTTTGAGACCAGCCTGGCCAACATGATGAAAGCTCTTCTCTACTAAAGACACACCAAAAAAGAAAAGAGGCTGGAGGCAGGACATGTATCGCTTTGGTGCACAGCTGGGGAAGCTTGGGCTGGAAAGGCGTGACATCTGACCGCCTTCACGTGCAGGTGGGAATCGAGGCTGGGGAAGCAGGGTGGAGCGCTGCTTCTCAAGGGCCTCGGGCCCTCGTCAGTGGGCACAGGAACCCCCGCACCCCGACTCACGAGCACCCTCTTCCTCCCCACTGCTGCAGGTCTCGGCGCGGAAGATGGCCGGCGGCGTGGACGGCCCCATCGGGATCCCGTTCCCCGACCACAGCAGCGACATCCTGAGTGGGCTGAACGAGCAGCGGACGCAGGGCCTGCTGTGCGACGTGGTGATCCTGGTGGAGGGCCGCGAGTTCCCCACGCACCGCTCGGTGCTGGCCGCCTGCAGCCAGTACTTCAAGAAGCTGTTCACGTCGGGCGCGGTGGTGGACCAGCAGAACGTGTACGAGATCGACTTCGTCAGCGCGGAGGCGCTCACCGCGCTCATGGACTTCGCCTACACGGCCACGCTCACCGTCAGCACGGCCAACGTGGGTGACATCCTCAGCGCCGCCCGCCTGCTGGAGATCCCCGCCGTGAGCCACGTGTGCGCCGACCTCCTGGACCGGCAGATCCTGGCGGCCGACGCGGGCGCCGACGCCGGGCAGCTGGACCTTGTAGATCAAATTGATCAGCGCAACCTCCTCCGCGCCAAGGAGTACCTCGAGTTCTTCCAGAGCAACCCCATGAACAGCCTGCCCCCCGCGGCCGCCGCCGCCGCCGCCAGCTTCCCGTGGTCCGCCTTCGGGGCGTCCGATGATGACCTGGATGCCACCAAGGAGGCCGTGGCCGCTGCCGTGGCCGCCGTGGCCGCGGGCGACTGCAACGGCTTAGACTTCTATGGGCCGGGCCCCCCGGCCGAGCGACCCCCGACGGGGGACGGGGACGAGGGCGACAGCAACCCGGGTCTGTGGCCGGAGCGGGATGAGGACGCCCCCACCGGGGGGCTGTTTCCGCCGCCGGTGGCCCCGCCGGCCGCCACGCAGAACGGCCACTACGGCCGGGGCGGAGAGGAGGAGGCCGCGTCGCTGTCGGAGGCGGCCCCCGAGCCGGGCGACTCTCCCGGCTTCCTGTCGGGAGCGGCCGAGGGCGAGGACGGGGACGGGCCCGACGTGGACGGGCTGGCGGCCAGCACGCTGCTGCAGCAGATGATGTCCTCGGTGGGCCGGGCGGGGGCCGCGGCGGGGGACAGCGACGACGAGTCGCGGGCCGACGACAAGGGCGTCATGGACTACTACCTGAAGTACTTCAGCGGCGCCCACGACGGCGACGTCTACCCGGCCTGGTCGCAGAAGGTGGAGAAGAAGATCCGAGCCAAGGCCTTCCAGAAGTGCCCCATCTGCGAGAAGGTCATCCAGGGCGCCGGCAAGCTGCCGCGGCACATCCGCACCCACACGGGCGAGAAGCCCTACGAGTGCAACATCTGCAAGGTCCGCTTCACCAGGTGAGCTGCCCGCCGCGGGGGAGGCGCCGCCCTGCTCCCTGCCCCGGCATCGGCCACTCGCAGGCCCCTCCGCGCCTCTCTCCCTGCACCGCACGCACACATGCACGCAGACGCACGGACACACGCACATGCACACAGACACATACACACATGCGTGCCACGTACATAGACGCACATACAAGACATGCAGACGTGCAGATGCGTATATGCACATGCACACAGACACGTACACAGACACATGCATGCCACGTACACACAGACACGTGCACACGCAGACACGCACACAGACGCAGACATGCATGCCAGGTACACATCCACACACCCAGATGCACACACGCACATGCACAGACATGTACACGCACATGCACACACATGCATGCCACTTGCACATGCATACAGACGCACACGCACTACACGTGCACATGCACAGATGCACATGTGCACACACATGCTACACAGACACAGGCAGACACATGCACACCACATACACATGCACATACACACAGACGCACATGCACACACACACGTGCACACAGACACGCACACAGATGGACATGCACATAGAAACGCACGCAGGCACATGCACACAGACATGTACATGCACAGACATGCACACACATATGTGCAGACATTGCAAACATGCACCCACAGACATACATGCACACACATGCACACAGACACACCCCACCTCTTGGGCCCAAAGCCACCGCTTCCCTAACCCACGTGCCTGTTAAGAACAACCTAGACCAGGCCCTGCCCTTGTGTGTGGACATCCCGGTGGGTGACAGCGCAGGCCAGACATAAGATGACAGCCAGGTCATATGCAAAGCGTGCCGGACAGGGTTGAGCTGCGGGAGGTCGCGGGAAGGTGCAGTCGCTCTTCCTCCCTGGAGGGCTGATTCTTCTCTTCTGCACTTTTGGATTTTTTTCTGTTTCTGCTTTGGGAGAGGGTGACAGAACCTCAGGCTTAGGGAGGGAGAGCCCAGGCTGTTGAGCGGTTTCTGAGTTTCCCGTGAGCCTGGGTAATTTGCTTCAATCAGCCAACATTTATGAAGCATCTGCTGGTGCCAGGCCTGTTCTAGGCGCCGGGGACAGGCCTTGCTGGAACCCGAAGGAGCTGTAGGAAAGGGCGTTCCAGGCAGAGGGAACAGTCAGTGCAGAGGCCCTGAGGCCAGCTCAGCTTGAAAGATCACCGTGCCCCTGTGGGAGCTGTGGGGCTTGGTCCCTAAACAGCAGGAGTTCAAGGCCAGGTCGGGGCAGTTTGCGATTTGGTCTCAGGAGTCCAGAGGTGGCTGGCTAGGCCTCGTAGATCCCCATGGCTGTAGCGGTGGGGGCAGGGGGCTGACAGGCAGGGACCTGGCCAGGCCGGGTGACTCAGCACCACCCCCTGCCCCCCGCCCGCCCTGGGGTTCCCCCAGCCACGCCCACCGAGGCTGAAGAAAGAGGCCATTGTCCCAGCTTCCCAGCCGCACCCCGTGGGGACAGGAACTGGGACTGACCCCTCCCCAGCACCCCGGCCCCCTCCCCAGCAGGCCAGGAGAGGAGGGTGCGGCCTGGACTCCGGCGCCCAGGAGTGCCAGGCAGGGGGCAAAGGGCACTTTGGGAGGCAGGCAGTGTAGCTGGTGGCTTACCCCTCCTTGGTGAGGTTGGGGTACTGGAGGTCTTGGGGGGCGCCTCTTCCTCCAGGCAGGGTTCACTGTGGGTTCGTCTCTGAGCTCAGGAAGAGCAGCTTGGTGGCGTGCAGAGAACCGGGGTCTGCAGAGGGGACCGGGCTGAGCGAAGGTGGTGGCCCCCGTCCTGCCTCCCTGGCCACAGGCCACAGGCCACAGACCTGGTTTCATTCTGACTCGGGCACTGCTGGCTATCCCACCCGACCTAGGGCTGATCCCCTCAGTCAGGGAAACTGAGGCTTAGAGAGGGACAATTGTTGAGGCCTCTTCCTCCCACCCCAATTTAGACCCACCTGCTTCCTCTTTTCCCCCACCCCGTGCCCGGATCCCCCCTCCCCAGGGCACCAGCACCCCCACCCTCCAAAAGCCTGGGAGCCCGAGGCCCCTCTGAGTCACAGCAGGGCGTTGAGTAAGTGGGGCCTGTGGTGGCCGGGGCTATAATTACCCAGGCTGGGGCTCGGGGTGATGAAACTAGGGATACCTCCGCCCCCACCCCACCTCTGTGTGGCCCTCTAGCCTGCTGTGCAGCCCCAGGCAAGTCCCTTCCTCTCTCTGGGCCTCCCAGGCTCATCTGGGGAGTCTCTGCACAGTTCTAGAAAAACCTATGGCTGCCGTCCCCTCTGTGACCCCGGCCCTGGGCCAGATCTAGGCAGGGCAGCCTGGAGACCTCTCCGTGGGCTCTGCAGAAGGTGATCAGTAAACCAGAGGCCTGGAGGTTGGTAACAGACCTGGTTAGGCCAGGGTTCTGTTAGCAAGTTACCATGTGCTGTTGGCTTCAGTGCGGCAGCAAGGCTAGAGATAAGGTAGGGATCTGGTTGCAAAGGGCCAGGCCTTGACCCTCAGGGCAACAGAGCCAAGGAGGGGTTAAAGTTAGGGACACCAGCTCTGTAGCTGGTCCCAGAGGGAAGGACTTAGGGCTGGAGGAACCCAGAGGGGAGCCAGGTCTTTGGGAATTAGGAAAGATAGAGGGGCATTCAAGGTAGGGCTTTGAGGGATGAATAGGAGTTTGCCAGTCCCCACACTAAAGAAGTCCTCAGTCTGTTGAGTGTGACAAGGAAGAAATCCAAAGTAGCTCAGATGTGGAGCGCAATAGGCAGCAGCAAGGAACAGGTCAGATTCTAGCCAGGGCTCTTAAGACCCAGGGCTCCCTCCTGCCCTCTGGATCCCAGGAAGGAGTACACTTTATTATTATGGATTGGCATCATGCAATGGGAATAGGCAAGACACCTACTTTTTTTTTTTTTTTTTGAGGTGAGTCTTGCTCTGTCGCACAGGCTGGAGTGCAGTGGCGTGATCTCAGCTCACGGCAACCTCCACCTCCCAGGTTCAAGCGATTCTCCTGCCTCATCCTCCCAAGTAGCTGGGATTACAGGCGCCCACCACCACCATGCCCGGCTAATTTTTTTGTGTGTTTTTAGTAGAGACGGGGGTTTCACCATGTTGGCCAGGCTGGTCTCAAACTCCTGACCTCAGATGATCTGCCTGCCTCAGCCTCCCAAAGTGCTGGGGTTACAGGCCTGAGACACCACGCCCAGCCAGCAAGCCACCTACATATTTTAACATTTTCTGACAACCCCGTTCAAAAAAAAGTCAAAGGGAGTTGGTGAAAGTGACTTGAAACATTTTACCTAACCCAGTAGATGCATTTCCATGTGTAGTCAATATGCAGGATCCTCAGTGAGCAATTTTACATCACCTTTTGCATATCAAGTCTTCAAAAGCTGGGGTGCCTTTTGCACTTCCAGCACACATCAGTTCAGAGTGGCCACATTCCAAGGGTTCAGGAGCCACCTAGGCCACAGGCACCCTAGGGCTGATATGGTGACTGCCTTTGTAGGCTAAAGGCGCCAGGCTGAGCTGGGTCCACACTGCCCCCGTGGGGTGAGATGGGTAGGGAGGGGCCCTCGAGTCACACCCAACCCCTGTTATCTCAGGGCTCATGGTCCAATCAGGAAGACAGAGGAGAAATAAGGAAATCAATAGAAGCAAGAGAGACTAGCCAGGCGTGGGGGCTCACGCCTGTAATCCCAGCACTTTGAGAAGCCATGGCAAGCGGATCACTTGAGGTCAGGAGTTCAAGACCAACCCAACCAACATGGTGAAAATCCTGTCTCTATTAAAAATACAAAAATCAGCCAGGTGTGGTGGTGCACGCTTGTGATCCCAGCATTTTGGGAGGCCAAGGCAGGTGGATCACCTGAGGTCAGAAGTTCGAGACCAGCCCGGCCAACATGGTGAAACCCCATCTCTACTAAAAATACAAAAATGAGCCAGGTGTGGTGGCAGGGGCCTGTAATCCCGGCTAGGCGGCCGCAAGCCCCGCGTCCGGGGCGGGGGGCCTCCACCTCCCAGGTTCAAGTGATCCTCCTGCCTCAGCCTTCCTAATAGCTGGGATTACAGGTGCCTGGCACCATGCCCGGCTAAACAAGAGTCAGATGATGATGGCAGGAGGATAGAGACAGGGCTGGGGAAGGAGGCCAAATTTGAGCCCAAATTTGACTGTGAAGATCCAGGAGGATAAAAGAAAGTGCCCCGGACAGTGGGAACAGCACCTGCAAAGGCTCCCGGGTAGCTTACGCTTTGCATGTCAGGGTGGAGCCCAGATAGGGGAGTGACACTGAAGTGAGGGGAGAGTGGGCGGTCCTGGGTGTCATGGGGTGGGGACTCGGTTACTAGGGTGACCAACTGCCCCACTTTGTCCCAGACAGAGGGGTTTCCCAGGATGCAGGACTTTCAGTGCTAAAACCAGAACAGTTGGTCACCCTATCTGTCACCAAACACCTCGGCCACCGCCAGCCTCAAGAGGGCAGGGATATTCGCCTGTCTTGTTCCCTGCGGTATTTTCAGCACCTGGAACAGGGCCTGGCCCTCAGCAGGCACTCGGCAAAGGTCTGTGGCATGAATGAAGGCACCAGGCTCTGGCTGGCCTCGTCCTACCTCAGGGGTAGGGGCAGGATGGAGTGGCAGAAGCCCACTGTCTCCTTCTGCGGTAGGGAAGGGGGTTCAGGACGGGCACGGTGGCCCACATCTGTAATCCCAGAGCTTTGGGAGGCCGAGGCGAGAGGATCGCTTGAGCCCAGGAGTTTGAGATTAGCCTGGGCAACATAGGTCGACCCGCATCTCTCAAACTTACATATATATATGATGGCTTGAGCCCAGGAGTTCGAGGCTTCAGGGAACCGTGATCACGCCACTGCCCTCCAGCCTGGGGGACAAAGCCAGACCCTGTCTCTCTTTTTTTTTTTTTTTGGAGACAGTCTCGTTCTGTCACCGAGGCTGGAAGGCAGTGGCATGATCTTGGCTCACTGCAACCTCCACCTCCCAAGTAGCTGGGATTATAGGCCTGCGCCACCACGCCTGGCAAATTTTTTTTTGAGACGGAGTTTTGCTCTTACTGCTGCACCCTCCACCTCCCAGGTTCAAGTGATCCTCCTGCCTCAGCCTTCCTAATAGCTGGGATTACAGGTGCCTGGCACCATGCCCGGCTAATTTTTTTTTTTTTTTTTTAAGTGGAGACGGGGTTTCACCATGTTGATCAGGCTGGTCTCAAACTCCTGGCCTCAAGTGATCCGTCTTCCTCAGCCTCCCAAAGTGCTGGGATTACAGGCGTGAGCCACCATGCCTGGCCTAGACCCTGTCTCTTAAAAAGTTAAAAAAGGAAAGGAAACGGGGTTCAGAGAGGCTTAGCATTTTCCCAAGGCCGCACAGCACGCGGGGTCCGAGCCCCTCTTCAGATGTTCAGAATGCGAAGTCGCCCCCATTCGTGCCGTTTTTCGAGGGACCGTCCCCATCGGGGCGCCGAAACCTCCGGTGCACGGTCCGTGTTCTGCCAGGGCGGTCCGGGGCCTGCCGCGCGTCTGTGTGGGTCCCTGGGCGGGGATCGGGGGTCCCCGGCCCCGCTGACCGTGCCCGCCCCGTGCCCCGTCCACAGGCAGGACAAGCTGAAGGTGCACATGCGGAAGCACACGGGCGAGAAGCCGTACCTGTGCCAGCAGTGCGGCGCCGCCTTTGCCCACAACTACGACCTGAAGAACCACATGCGCGTGCACACGGGCCTGCGCCCCTACCAGTGCGACAGCTGCTGCAAGACCTTCGTCCGCTCCGACCACCTGCACAGACACCTCAAGAAAGACGGCTGCAACGGCGTCCCCTCGCGCCGCGGCCGCAAGCCCCGCGTCCGGGGCGGGGGGCCCGACCCCAGCCCGGGGGCCACCGCGACCCCCGGCGCCCCCGCCCAGCCCAGCTCCCCCGACGCCCGGCGCAACGGCCAGGAGAAGCACTTTAAGGACGAGGACGAGGACGAGGACGTGGCCAGCCCCGACGGCTTGGGCCGGTTGAATGTAGCGGGCGCCGGTGGAGGAGGTGACAGCGGAGGTGGCCCCGGGGCCGCCACCGACGGTAACTTCACAGCCGGACTCGCCTAAAAACCAAAAAGAGAAAACAGAAACCCGAGAGAGAGAGAGAGAGACAGAGAGAGAGAGAAAAAATCACCCACCACCCCCCCAAAAACACAAAAAAAGAAAATCTATCTATATACAGATATCTATATCTATATATATATATACAGATATATATATATGACGCGTCACAGAATCTAGGGTAGCGCTTTCTCAGATTTCCCTCCTTTCTGACGTTTTTCTCCCTCCACAGGGGCCCCGGCCCTCCCTGGCTCCCCTTCCCCCCCACCACCCCATCGCTGGGTTTCGGGGCTTGGTTTGGGGTTTTTTGTAGGACACAAGGAATCCGAGACCCCGCACAGCCCCCTGGGCACCCGGCATGGGGCCTGGGGCCCGATCCGAGGCCCTGGGCTGGGGTGAGGGTAGACGTGGGGGGGCTGGGGGGGTTACTGGGGTGGGCTTTTAATTTCCTCCCCTCGCTGGTTTCTATGAGTCTTTCAGACAAGACCTTAAATGATTTCTGTCTGCTCTGAGCGGACATTAAAATGGGCCCCCGTCCCCGATCCGCACCCTCCTTCCTCAGGGCACTTACTAAGGGAGGGGTCTCCCTCTCCATCTCCCCAATGGCCTCCCTGCCTCCAACCCTGCCTGCCGCCCCCTGCCCGCCCCACATCTCCTGGCCACTGAGACACAAACCTATTTATTTCTAGGCCTGGAGAAAGGAGATCGGACTGGGGTTCCCGGTGGGGCACCAGGATGGCTCCTGGGGGGGCTCCCGCCGCCTTCCTTCACGGCACTTACAACCGGCGGGACCCCTAGGGACCACCCCTCAGGGCGCCCCCCACCCCAGCCCGGTCCACCTAGACCCCCACGTTTGGAGATTCAAAACTTCTGTCTTCGTCCTCTCCCCCGAGCCCCGTCTCCCAAATTTTTAAAGCACTTTTTAGATTTTTTTTTCTCTTTCCTCCTTAAAAACAAAATTTATATATAGAGAGAGATATATATATAAAAATAATATACTTTTCCTCAGAGGAGCAGGCAACAGTGTGGGATAAACAGAGTTATGATCAGAGGAACCCCAGGGTCTGGTGATGGCAGGGACAGGGGGAGAGAGAGAAAATCCACAAATTCCAATGTCACAAAAGCAATAAAACAAACTAGAAAAAAAAAAAAGATTTTACAAAACGAAAGGAAGGAAAAAAAAAGGCAACCAACCACATTAGAAGTCTTGGCACTTTGTAACGGAACGGGTACTACACTTTATCTTAATTCTTAATTTAAAAACATGTTTACAAGTTACAACCAACTTCTATGAAAAGTTGAAAAGACAAAAAAAAAAAAAAAAAGCGAGCGAGAGAGAGAGAGCGAGAGAGAGAGCGAGAGCAGAAGAAATTCCTAAAAGTCGATTTATTTTTGTACAAAATAATAAAAAAAAAAACCCACCACAAACGTAGAATCCACTTCTGTTCCCCAAAAAGCGAGAAGGGGGGTTCAGGAGGAAGCCATCGCAGGGGACCTGGGAGACGCCCCGAGGTGTTTGTGCTTCACCCCCGGACGTCAGCCTTGAAGGCAGGACTGTGGGGTGTTCGTGCTGTTTCCCCCGCTCCCCCTTTCTGTCCCCTTTTTTGGTTCTGACGTGAAGAGGTGTTAGTGCCCGCTAGACCTACAAAGGGCCGTCTGTCCCCGGGGTCTCTCCTTCCTCCTCCCTAGCTCAGGGATGGGCCTTCCAGCCGGAGCACCCCGATCCCCAACCGGCACCCCCAATCCTCCAACACGCCTATCCTCCCACATGGCCACCAAGGAGCTGGACCTTGGATGCGCCTGCCCTGTAGAGGTGGGTGACAGGGGCCCCCCACCTCCAGGGCCTTAGAACCACCGCCCCCCTCCCCACCCCAGGCACCCCTCTTTTTACTCAAAGGCACTGACTGTAATCCACGGGGGCTGGGACCTGCCTCCCCCCAACCTCTGGCTCCTACAAGGCCCGGTGTTGACCGAGCCACAGGCCACGGACAGGGGCCGGGGTTGGGGAGACGATGTCGCCAGATGCCAGGATGCCCTCACCCCTTTTGCATATGCAATGCCTAGCATGGGACCCTGAAAATAGACGCTCTACTGCACTGAGACTTCTTGTCAATGCCCGACCAAGGGGGGTGTCTCCCTGCCCCCGACCTCCCCATACCCCTTCTCTGTGACACACGCATCTTCTCGTCTCTTTTTCTTTCATTTTTAAAGGGATTTTTAAGAGGGCAATTTTCATGTTGTTTCTACAGGATGGTTTTGGTTCCCTTCCCACCCCCCCTTAAGCCTGTCAGCCCCCTCCAAATGTCTCAGGATCCCCCCTCTCCCCTGGGGCTGGGTGACAGCACCCCGGCTGCGTTCACACCCCAGTGTCACAGGGCGAGCTGTTCTGGAGAGAAAACCATCTGTCGTGGCTGAGCAGGGAGCTTGAACACCCAGGCCAGGGACACCCCTCCCCAGCTCCCAGAGAGGCCCCTGAGCGGGGATCCCTCTTTCCACGTTCCCCTATCCATGCACCCCCTCGCAATAAAACCAACTCTAAAATCACAGCTGTCGTCCTGGCCAGTGGGGGCGACCGGACTTGGGGGGTCTGGGACTTCCGTAGGAACAAGGGCTGCGGCCCACCGCGACACTTACACAGACCTCGGGGATTGCACTAAACCCTCGTTCCTAGCTCCGCACTCAGCTTCGCCTGTCCTGCCCGCCCACTTTGCCTTAACTGCCCGCCCGTCCTGGGGGCCACAGCCTCTGCATGGGCCCAGAGCCGGGACCCCCCCAGCCCAGCCCAGCCCCGCCCCGCCCTCCCCAGACTCCGCGCAATCACATACTGTATATAGACGTGAATCGATTTTATTTTTATTCTTTAAATTAAGGTCGTGATAAAGTGTTGCCAAAGATACCTGCTGAATTCTCGCGTTTCAGGAAACAAACAAACAAAAAATAATGAAATATTTGAGGAGGGTCGTGTTGACTCCATAAGAAAGGACACAGCTAAAAGCTTTTTTGTTTGGTTGTTTGGGGTTTTTTTGTGTTTTCTTTTTTTGGGGTGTTTTTTTTTTTTAACTGCCTGGTACAAAAAAAAAAAAAAGAAAAAAAAGAAAAACAATGCGAAATTGTTATTTCCATTCTCATGGTGAAGTTGCGTGGACGTGTGTGTGCGTGTGTGCAAGAGAGCGGGAGTGAGGTCCAGGCTGGGGGCGGGGCTTCAGGTGGGGGCGCCCGGGGGGCCGGGGAGGTGGCCGGGCCGGAGCCCCCGTCTGCAGCGGCCCCCAGCCTGCTGGGCCCAGGAGAGAGAGAGAAGCATCTTTGCTACTAGCTGTTGCTGCTACCTGCCACGACGCCCCCCTGCCTTTTGAGATTAAGGAAACAAACAAACAAAAAAAAAAACAAAAAAAAAAGGCAAAAAAGTTTTTAAAAAGGAAAAAAAAAAAATTATAAACCAGTGAATGTAAAATGCCAGAGCAGGCCCAGCCTGGCACGGGTGTGGGCCTGCGGCCAGCCAGACTCGAGCAGGCGATACCAAAGTCCGCCCCCACGGGGTGGTCCGCTCAGGAGACCCCCCACCATTGTGGCCGTGGAGTCCTGTCACTGTCTTTTTGCTTCCTTCCAAGGGGGGGTCCCCCAGCCTCTTCCAAGGTGTTCCCCTGGAAGTGGGCGGCTGCGGGGAAGGTGGGGGACGGGGTCCTTTGCACAATTCAGTCCCCGGGGCCGTGGCAGGAGCAGTCATCTCACAGGCGGTGACACTGAGGCAGGGGCCTCGGGGTGCCCCCTCCCTGGACGGGGACAGTCCAGGCAGCCAGAATGGTTGGAGGCGAGACAGAGAGAATGAAAGGAAAAACAAGAAAAAAAAAATATTAAAAATCAACAAAAAAAAGCAAAAATCCTATTTTTTGAGAAAGAAAGATATTTATATTTGCAGTTTTATTTTAAAAAGTTATTTAAGTTGAAGTAGCCTTCCCGGAGGTGGGGGGGTGGGTGGCTGGCGCAGGACGGGTCAGGGGCCTGGAGGCTGGGGGGTGCCCCAGGAGCTACAACCTCAGAGTTAAGACTAGCTCGCATTAAATACATAGATTTACAATGGGGGGGTGGGGGGACTGGGGCCAGGAGGTGGAGGGGGCTGGGGAGACCCCCATTCCTCGCCGGGGCTGCCTGGAGGCTGTGGACGAGGGTCTGATGCCCAGGTCCCGCCCCCCACCCCACCCCAGGCCCAGAATCGAGGTGCCTTGGACTTTGGAGGGGCCAGGCCTGGTTGAATGGGGGGCGGGGCGGCGCCCTCAGGGTACAAAGCACAGATAGACATTCCAGAGACTGTATTTGAGAGTCTTTATAAAGTGTGGGAGATTTAAAACAAAACAACAACAAAAAAAACTGATAAAAATGCACTTTTTGGGAGTGGGGAGGGAGAAGCTTTAAAAGTAATAAAAAAACACAAAAACACAAAAGATGAAAAAACAAAAAAATTCATTTTTCTTGTACATAAAAAAAAAAACCACTAAACGCAGCCTGTTACGACCGCTGCCGCCTCAGTCGCCTCATTTGATGTTCTCTGTGTTTTGTTCGGGGGAGGCTGGGGAGCGGGCAGGGGGGGCTTGGGGGGGGTCCCCTTTTCCCCTTTTGGCCCTGAAGTGACTGGGTGGGTTGAGCGCCTCGTCCACACCACACCTTCGGGCCCAGGGTGACTGGATCCTGGGTCTCAAGGAGAGAAGCCCCAGGTCCCCGACCCTTCCTGCTCTTCCTGTCCGGCCTCAGAAGCCAGGCCCATCTCTCTGGGGTCCATCTGTTGCATGGCGGGGAGGCCGGGTGTGGACAGTGACCCAGAGCACCGGAGTGGGGGGTGAGTGTCCGAGGAGTGCCCAGGCCCAGAGGCCCCTCTTGCGAGGAAGGTGACCCACAGCCCCTGGCGCGGGCAGGCAGCTGGCACAGGATAAGGCCAGAGGGGCAGCAGGGAGAACCGGCCGGGCGGGTTGTCAGCAGAATCCAGGGCTGGGCCCTGGGCACCGCTGACTCCAGGCTTCCCCGAGGCCCCAGGCGGGGTAGCCTCACCTGGGGGCCACCCAACTCTGCTAGAAGACCCCAGGGTGCTGCCCCATGCCAGGCCCCAGGGCCAGGAGCCAGGATCTGGAGCTGGAAGCCTCAGCTAGCTGCAGCCCTTACCTCTGGGTAGGGTCTTTGAGGGAGAGCCTCCTCCTACCTCCTGTCCTCCAACCAGAATCGGCCCATGTCCAAGGATCTGTCCAGGCCAGTAAGGGTGGGGATGGGGCCAGCCCCAAGGGATGGATGAGGCACTCATGGAAGCAGATGGTACAGTCAGGCACCGGTGGCCGCACTGAGCCGGGCACTGGGTCCACTCAGACCCCCAGCTCCTCTGTGGCTTGAGCTCTTCCTAGTAGCCACAGGAAGTCGACAAAGCCTGGCCCAGCCCTTGCCAGGAAACACCACGGAGGCCACAGCATGAAGCCTGAGGGCCTCCAGGTCCTTGTGTGGACCCCATGGCAAAGCCCCATACCTGTGCGAGGCCACCCGTGAACCTGCTGCAGCCAGGATTTGTGCCCAAGTCCCCAACACGGGCTGGGGCAGGGTGGGGGGTCAGTGGTTCTACAGCCATGTCCTGAGCCCCCTGTGCCCTGGACCCTCAGGGCACACTGAGGCCTCTGCTCAGAGGTCCCACAGCGTCGGGAAGCTGAAGGAGCCGCAGCCTCAGGACCACAAGTCAGGGTTAGGTGCTTCCTTAACCTCTGTGCTTCAGGGATGACCAGGCACGGTGGCTCATGCCTGTAATCCCAGCACTTTGGGAGGCTGAGGAGGGAGGATCACTGGAGCCCAGGAGTTCGAAACCAGCCAGAAAAACAAGGTGAAACCACGTCTATGCAAAAAATACAAAAATTAGCTGGGTGTGGTGGTGCACACCTGTGGTCCCAGCTACTCTGGAGGCTGAGGCGGAAGTATCGCTTGAGCCCAGGAGGTCGAGGCTGCAGTGAGCTATGACTGCACTGCTGCACTCCAGCCTGGGCGACAGAGTGAGACCCTTTCTCAAAAATAAAAATAAGTGTAATTCACACACCACATAAATTCCCTTCAAAGCCGGGTGTGGCGGCTCATGCCTGTAATCCCAGCATTTTGGGAGGCCAAGGCAGATGGATCACGAGGTCAGGAGATTGAGACCATCCTGGCCAACATGGTGAAACACCATCTCTAGTAAAAATACAAAAATTAGCCAGGCGTGGTGGCACATGCCTGTAGTCTCAGGAAGCTGTGGCAGGAGAATCACTTGAACCTGGGAGGTGAAGGTTGCAGGTGGAGCCGAGATGGGTGGCATTGCCCTCCAGGGCCTCGGGCGGGGGACGGGGAGCAAGGGACTCCGGGTGGGTTCAAAAAGAAAAAAAAAAAAAGGGGCTGGGGCTCAGGGTGGGCTTACACCTGTATCCCACGCCTATGGGGAGGCAAGGGCACAGTCACGAGGTCAGGAGATTGGAGGACCATCCTGGGCTAACACAGTGGACCTGGCCTGCTTACTCAAAGGTTCAAAAAAGTTGGGCCTTGGGGGCGCGGGTGGCTCAAGCCTGTAATCCCAGCACTTTGGGGCGGCCGGCAGACAGGCGTCGCCGGATCGGGATCGAGCCATCTCTGCGCCTAAAGCCGCTGACACCCGTCTCTTTCAAAAGAATTACCGAAGGAATCTAGCGGGGGCGGTGGGGCGGCACCTGTTAGTCCAGGTCTACTCGGGAGGCTGAGCAGGGGAATGGGCGTGAAACCCGAGGCGGAGCTTGCAGTGCGCGAGATCTGGGCACTGCCTCCAGCCTGGGCCCGGACGGGGACTCCGTCTCGAAAAGAAAAAAAAAACGCGTTACCAAAAACTGTGGCCGGGCAGTGGGCTCCATGCCTGTGAATCCAGACACTCTGGGCAGGCACCGGAATAGACGGGAGGGGTGGTCACAGGGTCGGAGATCGAGACATCCCTGGGCTAACAGGAGTGACCACGCTGTCTCTTACTAAAATTTCAAATTAGGCGGGCATGGTGACCGGCTGGCGCATGTAATCCCAGCTACTTGGGGCTGAGCAGAGAATGGCGTGACCGCCCGGGCGGAGGCGGAGGAGCTGCAGTTGAAAAAAAAGAAAAAAACAAGCAAAAAAAAAAAAACCCGAGTTCTGCACCTGTACTCCAGTGGCCTGGGAGATCAGAGTGGACTCTGTCGCTCAAAAAAAAAAGAAATAAATTCTTCAAAAAAATTTGCCAGACCCTCACCGATCTGACTTTCAACTTCGTATCCGCCGCCAAAGGATGCCCCTTCCATATGTGATCACTCTCCATCCCCTTCTCTACCTTCTAGCACCCGTGAATCCCCTTCCTGTCTCTGTGGATTGGCCTGTCCTGGACATTTCATAGAAACGGGACCACATGCCACGTGGCCTGTGGTGTCTCTCACTAAGCTTACCTGGCATCCTCAGGGTTCGTCTGTGCTGGGGCCTGTGTCAGAGCCTCGCTCCTTTCCATGGCTGTCATACCGCGGTGTGGATGGCCACGCTGCGCTGATTCACTCCGTGGTTGGACAAGGGTCGTGGCCACATTTGGCTGCTGTGCATATCCATGAACACGTTTCAATGTGGACGGATGTGTTCACTTACCTCGGGGCCATGTCTGGGGCTGGCGTTGCAGGTCCCACGCTAACTCCACGTTTAGCCTTTTGAACAACTGTCCAGCTGTTTCCAAGGGGCTGCACCGCGTCGTCCTCCCCAGCTGTGTGGACTGCAGCTTCCCTGACCCTTGCTGCTGTCCTGGTGGGGGTGACAGGTATCTCACACCCCTAACATCTCATGTGCTCCATGGTTGTCTGTGTATCTTTTTTGGGTCATGTCTCCTACAGCCCATGCCGTCATGACCCGTGCTCCCTGGACCTCAGGCGCCCACTGAGCGCTCTTGCTCAGAAGGTCCCAGCCGTAAGCTGAGAGCCCAGCTCAGGACCACAAGCCAGGGCCTAGGTGCTTCCTTAACATCTGTGCTTCAGGTGACCAGGCACCGGTGGGCTCATTGCCTACCCATGCCCACCTCCTTGGGAGGCTGAGAGGCGAGGACCACTCGGACCCCAGGAGTTCCGAAACCAGCCAAGCAAACAAGTGAAACCAACGTTTGCCCAAAATCAAATTAGCTGGTGTGGTGGTGCACACCTGTGGTCCCAGCTACCTGGAGGCTGAGGCGGAAAGTATCGCTTGAGCCCCAGGGAGGTCGAGGCCTGCAGGTGGAGCTATGACTGCACTGTGCACTCCAGCCTGGGCGACAAGTGGAGACCCTTTCTCAAAAATAAAAATAAGTGGTAATTACAACACCACATAAATTCCGTTCAAAGCCGGAGTGGTGGCGGCTCAATGCCTGTAATCCCAGCATTTTTGGAAGCCAAGGCAGATAGATGTCAAACGAGGTCAGGAGATTGGAGAACCATCCTGGCCAACATGGTGACACAATCTCTAGTAAAATACAAAATTAGCCAGGCCTTGGTGGACACATGCACGTAGATCTCAAGGAAGCCTGTGGCAAAGGAAAGAATCATTGGACCTGGGAGGTGAAGGTTGCAGTGCCCGAGAATGGCTGCCATTGCACTCCAGCCTGGTCGACAGAGCAAGAACTTCCGTGGTCAAAAAAAAAAAAAAAAAAGGCTGGGCTCCAGTGGCTTACACCACTTAATGCCCAACACTTTTATTGGAGGCCAAGGCAAGCAGATCGGGAGTCAGAGATTGGAGACCATCCTGGCTACACAGGTGGAAACCCTGTCCTCTACTACAAAGTCAAAAAATTGGCTGGGCGCGGTGGCTCAACCCTGCGTAATCCCAGCCCACTTTGGAGGCCCGAGACAGGCGAATCACGAGGTCCAGGAGATCGAGAACCACTGGCTAAACGCGGTGGACACCCTGTCTATAACGGAAAAAAAAATACAAAAATCTTAGGCCGGGCCCGAGTGGCGAGCACCTGGTAATCCTCAGCTACTCCGGAGGCTGAGGCAGGTAGAATGGGTAACCCCGGGAGGCGGAGCTTGCAGTGAGGCTAGATCTGGGCCACTGCAACTTCCAGCCTGGGCGACGACGGAACTCGTCTCAAAAAAAAAAAGTAACAAACTAGGCCCGGGTGCATGTGCGGCTCATGCCTGTAACATCACCAGACACCTGAGGAAGGCGCGAAGGCGGGTGGGTCACAAGGTCGGCAGATCAGACCACTCCTGCCCGCCTAACCACTGCGGCAGCATCGAAGCCCTTCGGCTCCTCACTCAAAAATCACAAAACTTTCAGCCGGGCCATGCGTGCGACGGGCTCGCCTGTAATCCACAGCTACCTTGGGAGGCTGAGGCAGAGAAGGTGAACCCGGGAGGCGGAAAGGAGCTTTTGCCATGGAGCCGGATTCTTTGCCACTGCTACGCAGCTGGGAGACCAGAGTGAGGACTCTGTCTCACAAAAAAAAAAAAAAAAAAAATTTCCTTCAAAAAATTAATGCACCCATCACCACTAATTCCAGAACATCTATCTAGCCACTAACAGGATGCCATATCCATCTTTGGATCACATCTTCCATCCCCTTTCTCTACCCTTCCTAGCACCCGTATGAAAATCCCTCCTGGTCCTCTGTGGATGTTTGGCCTGTCCCCTGACATTTCATGAAACGGGACCACATGCCCACGTGGCCCTTTGGTTCTCTCCACTAAGCTTTACCTGGCATCCTCAGGGTTCGCTCGGGCTGGGGCACTGTGTCCCAGAGCCTCGCCATCCTTTCCATGCCCTCCATTCACCCGCCGCAATGGCTGGAACTGCCGCCACCTCGGCCCGATTCCATCCGTGGTTGGACCAAGGGTCCGTGGTGCACATTTGCTGCTGTGCATATCCATGAACACTCCCCATCAAGTGGACGGATTGTGTCTCACCTGTACCTCGGGCCATGTCTGGTGGCGTGCCAGGTCCCCACGCAACTCCACGTTAGCCTTTTTGAACAATGTCCAGCTGTTTCGCAAGGGGGCTGCACGCGATCGTCCTCCAGCTTGTGTGGACTGCAACTTCCCCTGAACCTTGCTGCTTGGTACTGGTGGCCGGTGGACAGGTACCTCCACCCCTAACCTCCATTGCTCCATGGTTTGTCCTGTGGTATCTTTTTTTTTATTTGAGATGAGTGCTCGCCTTCTGTGTCCCCAGGCAGAGGTGGTGGTGGTGATCTTCTCATCCACGGCCAAGCCTTCACCCTCCCTGGTTCCAAGCAACCCTCTCTTGGCCTCAGTCTCCAGTAGGTGAAACTACTAGGGGCCACCCCCACGCCCAGCTTTTTGTACTTTTTTTTTTTTGAGACGGAGTCTCGCTCTGTCGCCAGGCTGGAGTTGCAGTGGCCGTATCTGGCCACATGCCAGCCCGCCTCCCGGCGTCGATCGCCATCTCTCCTGCCTTAGCCTCCGAGTAGCTGGCCTCCGCCGACAGCACCCTCGCCGGCTAACGTTCTCTCTGCCTACCTTCGCCCCCGTTTTAAGTAGACGAACCTGGGGTCGCGACCGCGCTTACGCAGGATCCGCGTCTCGATCTCCTGACCTCAGTGGATCCGCCGCTCTCCGGCTCCAAAGTCTCGGGACTTACAGGCTTCGAGCCACCGCCCCCCCCCGCGGCCACCTTTTTGTATTTTTCCTTTTTACTAGAGAGGGTTTTCGCGCGGGCGCGGGTGGCTACAGCCTGTAATCCCATACTTGGGAGCGAGACGGCGGACACGAGGTCAGAGATCCGGACCAATCATGGCTAACACGGTGAAACCCCGTCTCTACTTAAAAAAATAAAAAACTTAGCCGGGCGACGGTGAGGCGCGGGCTCCTGTCTAGTCCCAGCTACCTCGGGAGGCTTGAAGGCAGGGAGAATGCGGTGACCCAGGAGGTCGGAGCTTGCAGTGAGCCGAGATCGCGCCACTGCACCTCCAGCCTGGGCGGCGCAGAGCGAGACTCCGTCTCAAAAAAAAAAAAAAAAAAAAAAAAAATAGAAAGAATGGGGTTTTCACGTGTTAGCAGATGGTCCCTCCAATCGTCTGAACCCTCAGGTGAA